AACAATCTCATAGATCTTGAATTCCCATCTTCTATCCAACCAGCTCCTAGACCAAGGATCCAACATGCCATACTCCAGCCCCACTCAAGTGTTTTGGCGCACAGTTATTCTCCGTTTATACGAACTGTTCGGGTATGGAATAAACTGTCAACTCAAACAGTCCAAGCTGAGAACAATACTTCTTTTAAATTATTAGCCATAAGGGACATTCAGAACATGAAGACCCCGAACCACCTGAAGAGATTTTGAACTATTTAGATTTATTGTTTCTTTTAGACTTTACATATTTATTGTAGATTATTAGCACTATTAATTAGTTATTCTATATCTCCCAGCGTTAGCCCAGCTATTTGGGAGTATAAGTTCCAAGTTAGCGTATAGATTGGTGTACTTTGGTGCAGTGTAATCTGATCAGCGCGATTTGGTGTATCTCTTAGCAATCTGATTGGTGCACCTTTTGGTGTATCTCAAAGCAATGTGATTGGCGCAATCTTTCGGTGTATCACAAACCAATCAGATTGTAGTATTTTTCGATGTCGCACCAGTCAGAGCGTTCCTGCTAATTTGTGGTTTGACAGGTCTTCAAATTTCAGCGAATCAACGCGTGACTCGGTGAGAGCGGTTCGCGAATTTAGGAAACGTATTAGTGGAAGTGGAAGAATGATAAAATGATAGGGCTGTTAAACTAGTGCATCCTCAATCCCGCGCCCACGAAGTCGAAGAATGATAAAACGAGAGGGCCGTTAAACTAGTGCTCCCGTAATTCCGCGCTTTTGATGTCGAAGGATGATTAAAGAAAAGGTGAAGTTTACCAAGTGTTGACGCAGTCCCTGCGCTTACTTTAATTTGTTTTCTCGACTGAGGGATATTTTATTGCTGTACATGAATTCCATTTTGAATTTCGCTGAAAGAACAAGGTAAGAATGACATCTACAAGAATTGTGGGCTCATCTACCCAGTATAATGGCTGTCCTTCGTGAGGACTTTGTCGCTATGATCTGTCGGGATTAGAAAGATCGTCAGGGAATTTTTTCTACCAATTGCAAGTTAAAATGTGCGTGTTTTGTGTACCGCTCCTTCACTTATAAAGCACACACCGTCAGCTAAAGGCCTAACACGAATTTGGCACCAGAGCGTGTTGTTTTGGATGGGCTAGTTTTGCTGACTCTGGTAAAACTCGCGCAAGGTATTTGCATAAATTATTGGGTTCATGATCTTGTTTTTTGCCCCGTGGCTGCTCTCTTCGTAAACTTTGAAAAGACCACCAAGTTTTATTTACTTTCTGCGTCGACTGCCATGTTAAAGTGCCCCTGAGACGAAAATTGACCATTTTATTTTGGGCTAATTCTTTTACAGAATGTTGAATTGGGTCAAGTTAAAACCCTTTTTGCCATTAAAAACTCAAAATAAACCTTCGATGACCAATTTTTACCGCTTCAAAGTCGTCTAAAAATCGTCCGCCATTGCTGAAAACATGTTCCAGCCGTACAGCAGGAAACGTCATC